GCGGTCCATTTTCTGGGGAGAGTGTCGGAGGCTTTGCTGGCCCATGTCTCAGTGAGCCACCAGAGCTCTGTGGGATGCTTTATGGACTGGACACAGACCAAAGCCGCCTCTTCGTTAGTCATCCCAGCACCGTTCGTGTCTGCGAACACAGGCACGTTCTGCACTCCTGGGCAGAGGAGCCAGAGCTGGGAGAGGCTTCTGGGGACATATCAAAGTCCTCAAATGAAGAGGGATGGTCGGGAGCAGGCGGACACCCTTGTGTTGCACTGTCTGAACTCAACCCAACCTCAGCCATGCTACAAGGCACTGCACGGCACCACGCTGACACAGCGCTTCCAAGCACTTCAGAGCCAGCCAGCCAGAAATCACACTGCAGCAAAAACAAGGGCCTGTTTGTCATCACCCTAATTAATCCGCTTCAGGCAACAGAGCTGAGCAGCCGGGCAGCGGTGCGGGGAGCCGGGGACCGCCTGCCCTCTGGCCCAGGGCAGCTGCAGGACGGTTAGATCTGAACCCCACGGAGCTGCACCAGGAGCAAAGCAAACCACTCTCCCACGGCCACCCTCCTCCTTCCCAACAGCAAATGAAGCGGAAGAAACTGCTCACCTGGTTGTTCCGCATTCGGCTCTTTCACCTATGGAGAAACACAAGTTTCCATCATCTCTCCACATCGGTCCCCACCAAAGGACTGTTCAACCACATTTGCACAGGAACTCACACACTCCCTTCTGGATCTGTCAGCCCGAGTTAATGGCTTCTGGCAAAAAGAAGCTGAACTTGCCGGAGGGTTGGGGAGATGCCGAGCTTGTTGCTATGCAAGCCCCCACCACTAAAAGACATATTAGAAATCCAAGACTCAGCCAGAAAAGAGGGAAAGCGTCTTCAATTCCCACTGACATTGAGGGTTTATTTGCAATACGAAGCCTGTCTTGGAAATAACCAGATGCACGGCAGGCCTCCTGCACTAAGTGCTCATTTACACTAGGGGGGATTGGCAAAACCCAAGCAGGAAAGGGGCAGGCTGATAAGGGCTGAAGCCCCCAGGGAGGCTGCTGAGATTATCCAACTGCCTGGTGGAGGACCACTAACAGCACCTGAATGCAGCGGAGTGCTCAGCTCCCCAGCTTTTCCTGTGAGATAACAGCCCATCTAATCACCATCGGGCAGACTCTATTCTGGCTGTCAGTATTCTCATTCCCTTCGTGGATTTTCAGTGCTTGCATTTCACAAAAATGGCCGCATATCACCACTGATACGATCTGTTCATTTTTTAAAGTATTTGTCAATCCACTGGAAAAAAATAAACTAATTTCACATGCTGTTTGTGCCTTTCTCCCAAGGCCAGGAAAGCTGATTTATTCTTCCGTTTTCTAACGCACATGAAAGGAAGCATTTGGCTGCACATGCCTCCTTCCTGCTCTCCCCTGGCACCTGCGGAAAGCAAGATTGCAGCCAATTCCTCACTGAAAAAGAAAATAATTCCACATGAGTGTTTTGCAAACCCAGACTTCTTCCTAACGAGAATCAGCTCATGCTGAAATGCAGCATTTGGCATTTCTGGGCTAAATATTTGCCGGACACCTACATAGCAAGATGATCCCATGGCCTGGGAGAAATCCAGAAAGTTTCCATGGCTGCTTGTGCACAACTCTAGAGAATGAAAAGGCCTGACCCTGCCCTGCTCCGCAGTACGGCATTAGTACGGCTCTTGCGTGAGAGACCAGGACGGTGAGCAAGTTCATCTTCAACAGATCCATCGCTTCTTGCACCAACCCACGGGAGTCTCAGCACTGTATCCATAAACAGAGCTCTTTTCTGTATTGATCTGTGATCTCCGGGAAGAGCTCAGATGGGTCCAATCTCCGGGAAGCGCACACTCCATTCCCTCGCCCACGGCACGGTCCCAGCTCAGCCCTGGACTGGGAGCCCTGCCCGGCACCACGCGGCAGCCCCGAGCCTCGCACAGCCCTGCCACGCTGCTCCGGAATGGGACCGTCCGCGCCGGTGAGGGTGCAGGAGGGCTGACACCGACCTGCTCCGCAGGGTGACCGGGGCTGAGGCAGCTACAGGGAGCACAGAAACTCCTGGGAGAACAACTATGGTAATGGAGCCCTTTGCATCTACCCTTGCAGCCCTCCTTGTGCTTACACTTTGTGCCTCGACCTGGCTCAGTGTCCACCGAGCGGAACGTACTACAGGATCTAAATAGAAGGTGGATTTTAAGGCTAAATAAATTTGGCAGGGAAAATATGTTTGGCAAAATAGCCAACAAGAAGCTAAATTATTTTTTACTCTGAGATGAGGAGTACAATTTTTGTATTGTTAAAACATGACCATGGACCATTTGTGTATTTTAATTTAAACATATTCTCTCCTGTTGGAAAATCGGGATGCTAACTCATCTCCATCTTCTTTACACTGGAAATAATGCAATTTTAAAAAATCCTTTAGAAGAGCTAAAATCTTCTGCCAGGGACATGGTTGCACATCACTACCCCAGCAGTGGCGGAGCCCAGCGGGAGCCACGCACTCCTGCCTCCCCCAGACGTTACTGCCCCCTCTGTTTGTGTGTGTGTGCTCTAAACCACAGTTGTGAAATTATCTGGAGTAATGAAAGCCTGCTATGGAAAAGATTTTTAAAAACAAGGATGAGTTTTGAGTAGTGCTCTAGAGCAAGTCAAAACCCACCTATGGCCAGGGGGGCAAGGGGCCCATTAAATCAACAAGGCTGCTGGCAACTGTGCAACACAGAAGCCCAGCATCAAGGACAAGAAAATGCAAGTGCTCAGGGCTGCACTAAGGAGGGAAGAAGAGGGAGAGAAAAGAAAAAGGCAGAAGGTTGGAATGGGTGAGAATCTCTTTGCTGCTGGAAAAGTAACACAGCAGTTTGGCATGTAGTGTAAGATTCAGACAAACTTCTCTATGTGCACTCCCAAAGGACGGTGGGAAAAGAGTAAAATTCCAGAGAAACGATGATTTTGCATGTCACTGGTTAAACTTAGCAGCAGCAGCCAACCACAGAAGCCATCAGTCACTCAGGAAAACCCAGACAGCAGGTAACTGAGAGATGACGCCTGGTTTAAAATCATCTCCTGCGATGGGAGGCTCCTCCCTGGACCTGACCCACCACTCACCTTCTCCAAGAGTCTGTTTCAGCAAGTCATGTTTAGCCTGGAGCTTCGTGATAAGGTTACTGCCATTCAAATACTCTTTAAATTTCTGGAATTAAAAACAAAACAAACAAGGTGGGTTAAGACTCTTGGCAACAACAGCCCGTAATTGCTGTACGCGTTTGCCCGGGGGGCTGCTGGAGGGGGCTCGGTGGGGCCCAGGGGCTCTAACAAACCAGACAACGCGCCGCAGGGCTCAGCACGGTCTGATCACCTCCCACTGCTCCAGCCCCAGCCCTGATGATCTTATTAGCCTGGTCTCCTTGGTGCTGCCCCTCCTGCCTGGGAACGCAAGGAGCTCCAAAGAAAAGAGTTCAAAGCAAGCCTTCTTTTGTCAGGCTGCTGGGAATGGCCTGGAAAATCAAAGAGGCTTTCCCTCCACTGTCAGGAGCTCTGCCTTTGTGCAAACAAGTGATGCAGAGCAAGAACTGCCTGTGCATGAGACCTTCCCTGGTCAGGGACCATCGGACGCTTTATGTGATGGGTGACACCAGCTGTGCACAACACCTCGTTTCATTGTGAGACTGTTCGACACCCGGTGACACTCAAGAGCAAGTAATTTTAGAGATAAGAGGAGCGAGGGAGACAGAAACGGAACACGAAAGACAATGGGAGAGAGCAAATTCTTGCAGAAAGCACTAAACCAAACCCAAGCACAACTCATAACGAAAACAGCAATTCTTTTTCCCCTGAACTGGAATAATAATTCTGGTAAAAGAAAGTAGAAGCTTTTCCATGCAACGTATCGCAAGATGCTATTAACCTTCACCTATTAATCACACTTAAGCAAGGGCTACTTCCACGGAACCGACGGCTTATTGCTGGCACTTCCGAGTGCTCAACCTTGGATCTGCCTGGGAGCGCGCGGCCGCGGGCAGACAGCGCAGCTGCCCCTACCCGGCACGCGCGCCACGGCGAGGTGCTGCCCTGCCAGGCTTCCTCCAGCACCCTGCGTGAGACAACCGACCGTTCGGATCGTCCCAGGGGCCAAGGGCAGATTTTGGCTGTGTAAGCCAGAAGAGGAAGGCTTGGCCAACGGTTCCAAACTGTAAAGGCCTCCAGGAACAGCCACTGAATGGAGACACACCGCGAGGCTGGCTGGGGTCTGCTGCCCTGCTCTGAGCCACTCCTACTGACTTCTTCAAGTTTTTGGTCACAACCCATTGCTCCAGTTGTTCCTTCAAAAGAAGAACCAGGCAGACGCTGTGCTGTCACTCCCTATGCACTGCCCTGCCACTGAGAAACGCGTTCCAGCCCCAAATCAGACAGAAAACAAATACTTAGAAGAGACTGAATTGGTTCTTGCTCTCCACTAATGAGCACTTAAAACGGGACCCAGCCCTAGCAATTAATGCTTTGTGTCCTGTATCGCATGAGATGACACTCACCGTAAAATAGAACATTTCGGTTTCCTGCTGGTTGGCTCTCCTCTTGGCGATGTTTATTTTACTCATGTAGGTCTCTGATGCAGCCGATTTGACCGACTCAGTGGAGCGACTATGCTGGAAGGCATCTGAAACATCAAAATCTTCCACTGTCAGCATGTCCTGCAAAGTCTGCATTGTGGCATCCAGAGTTTTTCGTACCTATCAGAAACAGAAGACAGCACGGTTTTGAAGCAGACTGGGCAAGCGACACATCTCGAGCCAAAACAACCGGCCAGCAGGCAGCTCTGGCTGGGCTTGCTCTCGTGCTGGTTTTTTTTTCGCTCTCACCCCAGCCACTGGAAGGGCCCCACACCTGAGCGCGCCGGGAATGCCCCTGCACAACGGGCAAAAGGCCGAGCAACGCTGCCTACGAGGCCAAACACAAGATCCAGAGCAACTTCTTACCTCTTCGTTCTCTATCTTGAGGGTGGCCAGTCGTGACTGCAGCTGGTGGTACCGCATCAGCAACTCGGTCTGCACAGGCTGCTGGGCGCTGACCTGGCACACCTGACCGGAGCGGTGCCGGAAAGAGACAGGAGAGCACACAGTGGGTCGTGTGTTGACCAGGCATATCCATTTGAATACCTAAATGACTCTCCAGCACCCACAAGCTCCTCGCAGCCCCCAGGGAGGCCGCATCGCCCCCATGTCTAACCAGCCGTGCCCTGGAGCTGGGCCAGCACAAAGCATTTTCTACCCAGCATTTGAAAGCTGCACTCTGAAGTCTTCCAATTACAGCAGGTAAATCAAAGCTCCACTTTACAAATCTGTTGGGCAGCTCAGCTGAGAATCAAACCACAGGCTTCCTAATTGGGAGAGACACGGAGCAAGAGGCAGACTGAAAGGAGAAGCCCTAATGAGCCAAGTGTCTCATTAAGAAAGGAAACACAAATAGCAGCGTATGAAGAGGGATAAGGAGCCAGAAATAATTTAACGGTGATGGATAAGAAGAGGAGGAAGCCAGCCCAGGCCAGGCTGCGAGGCGAGTACACTACCTCGTCCCCCATGTGAGGCTGGAACTCGAACTTCAGCGGAGGGCAGAAGACCTGGTTGCACATGTCCATGATGGTGTGCTTGTCACTCCGGGCATCCAAGTTGTCCACTGCATTCTCGATGATGTCCAGGCCCTCGTGGCGGGAGGTTTCCAGGTTGTACTCAGCAGACAGGTAGGTCCTGAAGGTCCGAGCGAGGCTGGCGTGGAATCCCAAGTCACAGCACTGAGAAACACCAAGGAAGGGTCTGGTCACACAAACGCTCCCACTCTCGTTCTGGAGGGTCACATGTATATTAAACACAAAAAAAGCACTGTATGTCCCAGAGAAACACCAGCCCTGTCATACTGGGGTATATTTAGCAGCGCACTGCAATACCATAAAAAAAGGGCAAGAAGAGGACTGAAGGAGAAGAGGTACCAGGGAAAAAACAGCCAGACAGTACGGTGACTCTGCGCTGTACCCTCACCATGGCACCAGGATTTAAAACCCTTCATTTCACTGGAAGGGCACAGGATCTTCTCAGACAAGACAGAGGAAAAAAGTCACCCAAAAGCACGGTCTGCCTGGCCACCTGCTCAGCCCTAGCGCCAGCGTGACCGTAAGGGCCCCAACCACGGCAAAACCTGTGCCCTGCAGAGGCCCCCGAGAAAGAAGGGGCCAGAGGGCCTGTGCCACCACGTCTCCCCAGTGCTCTCCTCACCTGGGGAACTGCCCTGCACTCAGTTCTTACATGAAGAAACTATTTCCCAAAGTTATCAAATACAGATGGATTTCAAGCAAGGTGGCACTGAAAAACCTGCCCTGCAGGATGCGCAAACCCTTTTATCCTCACTAGGAAGCTGCCTTCCTCTCACCATGGGGCAGCTTCTCACGCATAACTGATCGTTCTCGTGTTCACCTTGGGGAAAATGGTAAAACTCGGAGCTAATTGCTGCCAAAAAACTGTACATCAGACAAAAGCTTGGTTTTAAACTCTCTTCTCAATATAATAGAGTTTGGCATGTTAAGTGCAGCAGCAGCACAGGGATTTGCTGCTACGAACACTTAATCGCAGCTGAGCAAAAAGCAGCTCTCCTGCCAGTCCCCAACGGGAGCCCTGGCACAGCACAGCCCCCCGCAGGGCTCTGCTCGACCGGCCGGCTCTGACACGAGGGGGGGCAAGGAGGGGCACTGAAGAAGCACCCAAAATTCAGAGGCCAAGGGACGTTGTTCTGCGGCAAAAGGCAAGACAGAGAGGATGCTGGAAGCAGGAGGAGCGCAGCGCGTCGGCCTGAGCCACGCTTGTGGGGCTGCACGGAGAGCACGGGGAGACAGAAGGGCTGCAGCCCAAAACTGAAGTTCATCTATTTCTAGGATGTAAGAGAGGGCTGGAGTTCCTGATAGAAGACGCAAAGTTCGGTAATTACGGCTTTATCCTCTGCGAGAAGTTTCATAATCCCACGTCCCCACGCGCCCACTCCTGTCTCCTGGCACAGCACGGGTACAGCTGCGGGCACAGCGCGGCGCTCCCTGGTCAGCACGGGCGGTTGCAGTGGTACGCTCACGGGCTGAAGCTGTTCAGACACCTCTGCACACAAGCACCATGCTCTGCAGACACATGCCCAGGAGCAGGAGGGCTGTGGGTCACAGGGACATCTCCAGGGGAGAAAGAGAGGGACCCCGTGAGAAACACGTCCCATGGCATGTAGCACCAAACCAACCATTGCCAGCAGATCACTCTTATTGACCGAAAACTACCACAGGACGGTTTGTATTACAGAAGTTCAGACACTTTGCTGCCACGCAGATTAAAGAACGAGTAGGAAGCCCTCACTGTCTGAGCTGTAACCAAAACCACCCCAGCACGGCACAGGCAGGCGTGTGGTGAGCCAGCTTCAACCCCAGGGCAGCCCCACCAAAACCACGGACAGGAGGACCAGCATGGCACAAAAAGCTACAGAAAAGAGAAGAAAGATTGCCAGCGTCATCTCAATGACCCAAAACGAGACCAACTTCTCGGCAGCGGCAGAAATCCGTGTTGGGAGCTGGCATTTCAGAGGCACTTTCTCCAGCTCTACAGCATCCACAGGCATTACTGAACCGACGCAGAAAGGCACAAAAAGTGATTCTGCATCAGGACATCAGTATTGATAAACTCAAAGTGAAAGATGAAAACTCAGCTGGTAGCACAAGCAGCTCCAGCCATGGAAGTCATCTCGTGCTTTCTGCCGATTCGAAGAGACAGCCCTCAGCTCAGATCAACTCACGGGCAGAGCTGTGCTTGGTTTAGTCTGTGCTAAAAGCAGCAGCAAAACCCCAACGGGCCGGTTCCCCTCGCCCATACACGGGCGCTGCCTGCCCATCCCCATCCAGCCTTTTAAACCACATGTGCAATAACGAGGATTTTTACAGAACTATCAAACGGTCATAATCCTCCATTTATCCTGCTTCTGTTTAGCTTCTAATCTTTTCAGCTGAAAACATGGGCACTTAAGGGCTGGTATAGCTCTGCCTTCATAAATCAGCAAGCGAAAGAAAAAACGAGGATAGGAGCGAATTTCTGTTCACTGCTTGGGGCGAAATCTCATTCTAGTGGGCGAGAGTCTCTCCCCTGGGACAGTTTTAGCACGGACGCCCGTACGACTGCCCCAGGGCTGCACGCAGAAACCAGCGAGCCGAGACGCCGCAGCGCCGCAGCTGCCCTGCTCTTCTCACCCGTGTTTGGTGCACCCTGAGCACCCCATCGGCAGGGCCGGGCAGCCCCAGCCGGGCCACGGGGGGCGCGGGGCCCGGG